GTTTGGGGAGTCGGGCTGGGTTCTATTGGAATTAATCCCATATGTTCTGTTTATTCACTTAGCGGGACCCTCTGGGTTCAATTGACGCGTTAAGTGGGTATCCTACTGTGTATATATATATATATATATATATATATATATATATATATATATATATATATATATATATATATATATATATATATATATATATATATATATATATATATATATATATATATATATATATATATATTATTTTTTTTTTTTTTTTTTTATATATATATATATATATATATATATATATATATATATATATATATATATACACGTGGGTATTCTATATCTAGCGGATCCTACTATGAATATTCTATATTAACATAACTCCTACAACGAACGCGGATGAATACCGGACTATTTCGCCTGGCGCATGAATATTGTTGTACCGCGACCCACAACAAGAGCGTCAGGCGCCATCTTTGTCTCATTATGTAGCCAGTGCACCACTGTTATTGTTGAAATTTCGTCTTTTGATGTGGAAATTCGCGTTATTTGTATAACTATTTTGTTATACAAGTATACAATTGTAACAATGAGTCGTCCAAAGCAAGTGAGAAAGCTAATAACCCTTGAAACTAAGAAAGAAATTATAAAGAAACGTGAGAATGGAAGAAGCATTGCGAAACTTAGTGATGAATATGGGATGGCTAAATCGACTATATGTACGATTTTGAAGAATAAAGAGGAGTTAAAAACTGTGCAAGTGGCTAAGGGAATCTTTAGACTTAGCAAAGCAAGGTGTAATGTGATTGAAGAGATGGAAAATTTACTCTTAGTGTGGATAAAGGAGAAAGAAATGGCAGGTGGTAACATTAGTGAAGCTATAATTTGTGAGAAGGCTAAACAATTGTTTGAGGACCTTAAAGCCAAGACTCCCAGTGGAAGTGATAGTGCTGTGCCAGTGTTTAGGGGTACCTGCATGCTGAATAACACTAAGGTAAGATAAAGTACCGTATTTTTTACATTTTCCACAGAATTTTTTCAGTGTTAAGCGGTTGTATTTGGGGGCCTGGAACGGATTAATCCTATAACGAACGAATGCTATAACGAACGAGGTTCTGGAACCAATTACGTTCGTTATAGCATACCCCACTGTATATATATATATATATATATATATATATATATATATATATATATATATATATATATATATATATATATATATATATATATATATATATATATATATATATATATACATATATATATATACATATATATATATACATATATATATATACATATATATATATACATATATATATATACAGCCACTCCTCAATTTAAGACGAGGATAGGGACCCAAATCCAGGTCGTAAGTCGAAAATGCGAAAATAATACATAGAAAATCTAAAATGGGAGTCTCTTTTTCTTCTTAGCACCACAAAACTCTCACTTTTAAGCTTGCCAGCCATTTTAAAGGGAATTACAAACTAATGTTGGGACTTGAAAATACGTAATTTGAAAAAATTTTTGTACGACTGGATCGGTCGTATGTCCGAGTGGTCGTAAGTCGAGTGGGTTGTAAGTCGAGGAGTATGTGCATATGCAAAACTTGACAGGTCGCAATGTTAGATGCCACTGTAGCTACATTTTATTCCTTTTCTTTTCCTCTGTTACATGTAAACACAATTCTTCAAACCGAATGTGCAAAAATAAATTTGAAAAAATTGATTAACACAAGGTAAAAAATATAGACAATAAAAAGTTCTTATGTCTGCAGTACAGTAATTAGTGTACAGCCGTGGGAGAAGGCTGGGGTGTTGGTGATGATGGTTTGTGGTGATGATGGTGAGTGGTAGTGATGGTGAGTGTTGGTGATGATGAGTGTTGGTGATGATGAGTGATGATAGTGAGTGTTGGTGATGATGAGTGATGATGGTGAGTGTTGGTGATGATGAGTGGTGGTGAGTTTTAGTGGTGGTAAGTGTTGTTGTGTGGTGAAGAGACCCACTCACAGCACATAAGTTTGTTACACGTACAGTAAACCCCCAATAACTCAGCATATATGGGGCTCCGGTCTTGACGAAATATAAAAAATTCCAAATATTCGAGGCAATTCCCCCCCTCCTACAAAAATACAACAATAAAAATTTTCGAATATCGACCCGTATATGTGTAAAAAAATTAACACTTTCCAGCACTGCAGGCAAAGAATGAACCATCATAGTAAAAGACAGATGTATGGAAGGTGACACAGAGGTATGGAAGGTGACACAGAGGTATGGTAGGTGACACAGATGTATGGTAGGTGACAGATGCATGGTAGGTGACACAGAGGTATGGTAGGTGACACAGAGGTATGGTAGGTGACACAGATGTATGGTAGGTGACACAGATGTATGATAGGTGACAAAGATGTATGGTAGGTGACACATATGTATGGTAGGTGACACAGAGGTATGGTAGGTGACACAGATGTATGGTAGGTGACACAGATGTATGGTAGGTGACACAGATGTATGGTAGGTGACACAGATGTATGGTAGGTGACAGAGTCATGGGAGGTGATACAGGCGGCCAGACATGCCGAGATAATTTTATATATCTCGGCATTTCCCGGGTTATACTAATACATTCCAAGATCACATCCATGCCGAGTTATATGATAATTCAAGTTATCGAGGGTTTACTGTGTTGTTATTTTTCAACTCATATTTTCAGGTAGATACTGTATACATAAATTTATTTAATTCTTCTTCACTGTTACATCATCTTTACTGTACCATCGTTATAATTAATATTCTGATTTTTTTTAATTAATTAACAATTTGAATTATGAATGAATCTGAATTAACCATGCGGTTTCAAAAAGTTGATTTTTTTATAGAAATAAATTATGAAACAGATTAAGACGAATGACTTATAGGAATAAAATATGAATTACAGTCTTGCCTCGACTTACGATGGGGTTCCATCCCGACGACCAGGTCGTAAGTCGAAAAGGCAAAAATAATACATGTAAATTCTAAAATGGGTGTCCCTTTATCTTCTCAGCACCACGAAAACTCTCACTTTTACGCTTGCCAGCCATTTTAAAGGAAATTACAAAAAAAAAATTGTCAGTACACAGCGCGATCACTAACATCGGGACTCCAAAATACATAATGTGAAAAATATTTTATACGACCATGGCCGTTGTATGTCCATGTTGTCGTAAGTCGAATATGTCGTAAGTCGAGCAGAGACTGTATATTAATATATAAAACTACGTTTGAGTGCGGATGAGGGAGCAGCTCAGTAGCCTGGGATGCCTTTATAACTACAGCATGCCAATTCACCATAATTCCCATATTATTTAGGTTCATTTGGTGTTGGATTAACAAAACATCGAGAAATAATTAATTTTTCCAAAAAATATCCCACACTCAACCCCAGATGAGCAATTGTGCCATAGTATATTGTCAGTCTCTTGTTTAAAAAGCATTAACAGTTGATCATTTCTGCTCTCCCTCACAATGTTGCCAGAACTCACTATCTCTTAAGCACTGGATGTTTCATCAATTCGAGTGACCAAGTGTCCCCTTTTTGTCAAATTAATGTGGGTACACTCTATGTAAAAATAAATATAGAAATATAAATAAATAACGAAGAATAATAACCGTGGAGATGGCATGTAATTGCGGAGCCAACTTGCCACTCAGTAGCACACAGAGCAGGTGCGGCTGAGCTGCAAACTACATTACTAGTCATACAGAATGTGCAAACAAAGTAAAAAAAAAAATAATTATAAGGTCAAAAACATAAAGTGAATAAACAATTCTTATATGGTCGGCAGTTAGCCAACAGAGCGGGAGAGGAGGAGCAAGAACCAACGTGGGAGATCTCTCAACTGTTCTGTGTCTTATGTCCCCGGGAAATGGTTGACAAATGGCAGTACAGTACGTATTTTTTCTTTTATTTTATTTATTATTATCATTTATTCCTCACATTTACTGGTACAGTATATATTATCATTATGTACTAAGAATTGCTTCTTCTACATGCAAACCATCCTGTGTGATGTGACAGTTCAACTGCTTAGTCTGGCAATCACCAGGGATGGGTAGAACCTCCCACGCGGGTCGCATACGTTATGCCATTGGGATATCGAGTCATATATATCTGTGAATATTGTCAATTGTTGCGCATCACTCTTTCATAGAAATGTCAATGCAGGAAAAGCATTTGGATAGCAAACATCATAAAACAGATCTTTAGGCATCACATATTGGCAAATCTTTTTAAATCATAACACTGATTGAGCGCATATAAATACATTGTATAATGGTCAATAACTGTATCTACATCAACTGCATCCATCAACATACCTTAAGTTAATGTACATTAAATATGGTCACATAACAATGAAATATCTTATAATAAATCTGATGTGTTTATAAAAATACCAGTCCACAGCATTTGTAACAGTACATATAGGCATATACAGTAGTAAGTATAACAAAAACTACACACTACAGATCTGCAAGGCACAACAAGGCACATGTTTCTATATGAAGTTCCTTGGTAACCATTTACATAGTACAATGGGGAAGCATAGGACCTTCTTAAGCTAAAATCTGTCAACACTAAAATCAACCAATAATTAGTTGACAAGGGTCAACACATGAATATACTGTATTACTTAAATTACTCTATACAGAGATAAAAGTACTGAAAATTTCCAGGAAATTTTAAATAACTCAATGTTGAATGTAACAATAATCTAAAAAGAAAAAATTCTGGGTGATGTGATTTGGGACTTTAAATTAATTTAAAGCCTCACTGCAATGTGTTATCACCTCCTCCAAGAATATCCTCGGAAACATAAAAAACTCATCAAGCTAGAGGATCTGATTCTTCAATCTGTAGTTCATGCTCTTCATACTCACTATCCTCATCTTCATCATATGCAATATCATCATTTTCCATTGGGTCGTCTGGATCCAGTTCTACCTCAACTTGAATTTCTTCAGCACTTTCCTCTGAAGTGATAACACTCTTACCTGAATGTATGTACTCACTTTCCATTATATTCTCCATTGTGTCGTCTACGCCTACACTTGGTTCTGACTCGTTATCCCGTATGATTGGTATTAGGTCCCCATCCGGAGTTTCGTGCCAGTTTTCTCTTTCATGCGCACGAAGGTGTTCTCTTAACTCTATTCGATCCTTAAAGTCTTCACGAAGACAAATGACACAAAGTAAGAGGTTAGAATGATATTTCTTGCGGTGGCATCGCAATGATGACTGATCCGTAAAAGTTTTTTCACACAAGTCACATATGAATGGTCTTTCACTAGTGTGTTTCAGAACGTGGGCTTTCAGATTCTCACGATTATCAAACGACTTCCCACAGCTCTGGCAACGGAATGGTTTTTCACCAGTATGGGTGCGCTCATGACGAATCAATCCTACTATCTGTGTGAAAGTTCGTCCACATAAACTACATGCATAAGGCTTCAAACCCGAGTGAATACGCTCATGGGCTTGAAGCCCAGATTTGAAGCGAAATGGACGCAGACATACACTACACTGGAATGGTTTCTCCCCAGTATGGAGCTTCATGTGTTGTTTTAAATGCGTGTTACGAGAAAAACCTTTGCCACACACTCTACACTGAACTGGGCGTTCACCTGTATGAATCCTCATGTGAGATCGCAAGTTGGACTTCTGATTAAAAGAGGCATTGCACATTCCACAAGTAAAGGGTTTTTCACCTGTATGAATGCGCATATGACGAACAATATCAATTCTCTGACGATAACGTTTCCCACACACGTCACAAGGATATGGTCTTTCCCCTGTATGCACTCGAATGTGGGATATAATGTGATCTTTAGTTTTAAAGTCTCTAGCACAAAATGGACACCGGAAAGCATTGAGCGGTGTTATGACAATGTCACACACATCTTGTTCCTGTGCTTCAGTTTCTATTCGAATCCTGAGATATCGCCTTCCCGATTCTGAAAATTCCCCAATTATAGTTGTATTGCTCTTTGGAGTGAGAGCAAATTTGTTGCTTGTTTCGACTATCTTGCCACTAAGAGTTTTCATTAAAGCAGCTGCCTTTTCGGCTTCTGGTGGAACATGACGACTGACATAATCTTTAACATTCACATTATCTGGAATCAAAATAGTAGGCACTGGTTTCATTTTACTGTTCAACTCCTCTGAATTAAATGACTTTAATAAACCCATGGTCTTAACATTAGTGAGAGCATTTAAGAGTTTCTTTTGGTTATTCTCTACCTTATCATTATGGTCAAGGCCCAGAGCCTCAGCTTCCTCATTAGAGATAGACACCAGTTTACCCTCTGATGTGCGGATGTAAAACCTTGGATGAGGAGTTACATTGATGGAGCTGCTTACTCCCAACACCTGCCTCAGCTGCTCATCCTTGGCCAACAACTCACCTGTTTAAATACAAAGAAAAAATTAGTCTTCCTGAATTTTGAAATGTAAAATGATAAATTGCACACAACCATATCATTATAGCTGAAATCAAACAATCTCTCAATTCGACTGTTTTTAGTTTAGATAACTGAAAAACAACCTACAAGCGAAGAAGAATCTTTTATGAGAATAAAAAGGTAATGTAGTGTGGTATTCAACCAATGGAAAGGTCTTAATAACATTAAACAGTAACTTAAATCTGGGATGAAGAACTTCTTCAGCAGGCAGCCAGTATGCCAGTCATAACGCAACACATAACCACTATACAAAGAGTTATTAAAATGGCATTTTGCAGCTACAGAAAATAATGTGAGATCTAGAACCTGTCCACAGGCTATGGGTTACACATCTAGGTATGAAAGGTTCAGTTGAGAAATTACTATGTTAATACAGTAGACAGTTAAAGAGGTTTGATCAACTGAAATAATGAAGTTTACATTATGAAGACTGAGTATAGTAAATAAAATACAAATGAGTAAGAGGGTGACACACTGAGAGGTGCAGTCACTGTCATGTTTAGATATTAACCAAAGTACTGTATGAGTTATCCAGACATAGGAGACAATATAAGGATGACACGGTAATGTATCACCCTTTTATTAACACTAATATCAAATACAATATACACAAAATTGCTTACCACATTTTAACATATTGTAACAATATAATTTATGTTAAACTGACTTACTCTGTTCATCTACAGGTTCCTCTTTAATTCTGACATCTAACACAGGATCAATTACTGGGGGCTCTTGAAAGGTGTCCTCGAGCTCCTTTTGGTCTTCCTTCTCCTCCTTGATGCATACACCATCAACAGTAATGGACTCATTAGCTGGTATGTCCTTAGGTTCTTCTTTAACTTGGATGTTCAAATAAGCTGGAGGCTTGGTTGAAATTCCATTTTTCAGCGGACTGGCAGACTGCACAGTTTGCACGACCCCAAACTTCTTAAGGGGCGGTAAGGAAAGCTGGGGTGAGAAGGATCCTGTAATAAACTGGGCTTTTGGTGCTATCTTCTGAAGCTTGGGGTTGAGTTTTACAGGAACAGGTGTCCCCACTACCTTAAAGGTTGTTGTACCATTATTTAAAATCATGATGGGGTTTGAAGCAGCACCAAGTGATGTAACAGGTTTGGTGATGGTGGAAGTGGTGGTGAGTGAGGCTGTGGAGTTGCTGAGAACAGTTATCACTGGAGGCTTCATAATGTCAGGCTCATCTTTAATACTATTTGCTGGAGCTTGGGAGCTTTGTTTGAACGTAAATGGATGATTCATCCCAGCAACCTTCAACATCAAGGGCTGATTAATAGCTGATGATTGTCCATCACTAGATGGTGCAGATGCTGAGGTTTGGAGAACAATTGTGCGTGGGGCATTGGCAGCAACCACCGGACTAACTGGTGACGAGGTGTTGGTAGCCTGAGTATTACCTTTGGGAACTAACAAAACTTGTCTGCTTGTCGAAGGTCTGGATACATTCACCACATTGGTTAATAGTAGCTTTTTCCCGGTTGAGGTCTGCACTAAGCGCATGTTAGAAATGTTCGACTTTGGTGGGTTCATTTGTAGCACCAGAGGCTGGGTGTTGAGCTTTGTGGGACTGGATGTTGACTTTAAGGTCTTTACTGATATAGGCTGGACGGGCTTTGAAAGCACTACTTTTCCTTCCTGTGTTCCTCCCATTGTCATGAGGGGAGGAATATTACTCCCACTCACTGGGATAATTACCTTTTTCATATTGTATTTTTTTTCTGTTTCTTAACACAAGTCAAACTTAAAGAAACATAACTTAAACAAATAATAAAAACTAAATATTATCTCGTCAAAATCTCACATCTTGAAATCTGAAAAGAGAAAAACAAATATTTAGTATCAAATAAATACAATTCCACACATGTCAAACTCTACACCTCAAGGCCATCATAATAACTACACGCTTGAATTTCAATCTATAGAAATTTTCACTGTATAGTACTACTTTACTTAGAGATACTGTAGCTTGCAGTCCATTGAATTATGTTCTAGTAAATAATAATAATAATAATAATAATAATAATAACATATATTGCGGCCTATAAGTCAACTTTTGAAGCTCCAATTTTTTTGTTCAAAACTAAGGGTCATCTTATACAACAGGTATAAAATGTCAACCTCTAAGTAAGCTCCACCACTAGCATCAGATTTTCACTTTAACTTACTGGTAGGTCTGAGTCACTAAATTTCCAGCACTCACAAACAACTTTTACCTAACTGCAGCATTTTCCAGAAGGGTAACTGTTACTGAACTCGGTCTAAGCTCAGTGTTTACACTAGTCACACCGACACCTTTCAAAACATTAAAATACCTTTCAGTGTTATCTACGGCTTTTTACAAACATACGTTAATGGGGTAGTTACCAGTAATATTTGTTTTTAAATTGTTTAAAAATGCAGTTATGATATATTCTTGCAATGAACCTGGATTTTGTAAATGTTTAAACGAATGGGGTGTAAAGTTATAAACAATGCACATGCCTGGGAACAGCTGGCTGGCCTGTGGCAGCTCAGCCAGTGTTGCCATCGCCACCAGTGATTTTGGAGGCAGAGTCAAAAGACCCACATGATGGATGATCTTTTTTCGTCTAATAATGATGAACCAGAATATGAAGGATTTTGAAACTTAGATGGTTTACATTGGCATCAAATATTAACTTAAATTTTAATAAACTTTGTCTTGTTTAAGTTACGAATAAAATAATATTGTAATCATTTAGCAGTAACAGAGACTGTAGACTTTGCTTGTTGCCACATACTGCCAAAACAGTGTACAGTGGTCCCTCGGTTAACGAGCACAATCCGTTCCAGCAGGTTGCTCGTTAACCGAAAAACTCGTTAACCGAAACCATTGTTTCAATGGGTTTTTGGGTAATTGGTTCCAGCTCACCGAAAATTGCCTAAATTCAACAAAAAAGGTAGAAAAGTACACTTACTTTGAGGTGTGTATGTAGAAGGCTCCTGGATGATGATGATAATGGGAATTAGAATGGGGGTGGAGGAGAAGGAAGAAGAGAAGGCATTGGGGTGGAAGAGAAGTCACCCCATGGAGCCATTTCACCCATAAAATTTTAGCTCTCTTGGTGTAATTCAAGATTATTTTCTTTAAATCAACACTGCACTGCATTATATATTGTCAATATGTAAAATATATTTCAAAATGACCAATAATTTGCTTGGAAACACAGAAAAAAAGCGTTTAGTTGAAGAGAGTCTCAAGCAAGATGTTACCTCCACTGAAAACAGAGAGAGACTATAATAATAATAATAATAATTAACGGTT